GCCTTGTGCTTTAGCATTGGGATGATGGAAGAGGAAAGATCTTGGAGGCTCTTGGCTACCCAGTACCACCAAATTAGTAAGTACTGGGTTTAGTGGGAGACTCTGCCTCAAAATGTAAGGTGAAAGTTGATGGAGGCCAATGTTGATCATTGGCTTCTACATACATATCCATATGTACACAGATGTACATACACATGAACACATGCAAAATTAAGTAAGATACATCTTTGAAGTCAATTTATTTTAAAATATTTCAACAATAAACTAATTAAGTTGATATGGAAAACATCATAGATAGCAAAATTAGGACAGTTCAAAGTAAAAATTAAGATAAAAGTGTAAAGGTCACGGTATGTCTGTCATTATGCTCTTATTTACTCTGAATTTACTGTATGAGGGTATCACACAAACTATAAACAAATGCAGCACTACATAGTAGATGGCTATCTACTGCCTTCTAAAATCACTGGCTCCCTCTGCCTTGCTATAAGCTGCCCTGTAGCAGCTTTCTAGTGGGAGGCATGGATGGTTAAGGGAATCTGCCTAAGCAATGCAGTTGTACAGCTAGGTGATTCACCAAAGGGACAGAGTCACCTCAAAGGGAATAAGAGGTAGTGTGTTCTAGACCCAAATATGAGTGACCCTGACCTAAGAACACAAATTCACACTGCCTCCAGAAGCATGTGCCACCATTGTAAGACAGAACAAAGAAAGTCATCTATCAACGTCATTTTAAAACACAAACAGGTACAGGAGGGTGAGAAGTCGCTTCCACAGATGTTGAATATCTTCTGATTACATTCTTAAACTTTTGGTTGGTGGAAGCCAGCAGTCTATTTAAATATTCCAATGGGGACTTTAGCTAATTGCTGGAATATTAGGTCTGACACAGAGATGAACAATGAATCACTACAGAGGGGACTAAACAGACCCCAGACCTGCAAGACTCCTACTCAGGACAATGGAAGAGGTTAAGACCCAGGCTTGTAAAATGTGACACAGCTAAGACATTCTCCTGAGAACTTCAGTTGACAGAGTCAAGGAGAAAACCAAAACTGGGAACTTGAGCGTCGGTCACATTTACCTGAGCAAGTCAGGAAAACAGTTTACAAGCAATCAATATCAATCCTTGCAAATAATACCTTCCATAATTTACCCACTGTAAACCATACACAAGTGTAACCTGGTCAGAGAGATAATCCCAAGTGGAAAGTTTAACTTTTGCTATCAAATCTTTCATAAATCAGATAAAAATCAAATATAAATGACCTAAGATTGTGATTACTAATGCACAATGCACAATTCTCTATTAAGATGGCATATACAGTCTTGGGAAATATGTAGAGAAATTAATGTACGATATTGAAGGAAAGTTATCAATACATAAACAGACTTTTCCATCCTGAGTACCTGAAAATGAATTAAGTGTTCAATTCATAGTACCATTATGATGTCAAATTCTTTGGGAAAAAAAAACAAAAAATGGAGGCCATTCCTCCAATGGAACCACCTCTCAGAAAGTTATTTTTTCATAATTTTCTAAATAAATTTAAATTTTCTCTGCTAATATAAAAGAAGCTAAGATGTATAAATCAAATGTGAAATGATCAAGTGTGCCTCAGTAAAACTGTCATTTTCTCCTTTTAGCTGGGTTCAGTGTGTTGTCCCGTGAACACCAGTGCAATGATAAGTCAGTGTTGTTGAGGGAAGGATGAAGCGGTGGTGACGGTCCTACATTCATTCTGCGGCTGTGATTAAACACTCTGGCAAAGAAACTTGAGTCAGGAAGGGTGTATTTGGCTTACACTTCCTGGTGACAATCCATTACTGAGGGGAATCAGGATAGGAATTCAATGTGGAACTTGAACAAAATTCTGATTCTCTCCTGCCTCCATTCAGCTTGCTTTCTTCTATAGCCAAGACCTACTTGCTTAGGTATGGTACTGCCAACAGTGGGTGGGCCCTCAACCACAAGCAAGCAACCAATACAATCTCTCTTAAGCATAGCCACAGGCCAATCTGACCTGGGCAGTCCTTCAGTTAAGATTCTCCTGAATAGTGCGAGTTTGTGTCAACTTGACAGCTGAAGTGAACTAAGGCACTAACAATTTGTCATTGGTTTCTTAAAGCCGTCTACAGAAAAGAGTTCTTCATTTCTTCACTCTGGGCTGTTAACCAGCAGAGTGGCTCACATGGTGTCTCACATCATCACCACAGACATGTGATTTACTTCTTCTACCTGGAAATGTCACCCAGTAGCTTCAGCTGTTTTGTGCCAATGAAAATCATGTGCCATCTTTTACTGCTTCTGGATGTGATGTCTGCCATTCCGTGATGCAGCCTGTGAGACAGAGCTCCTGGGACCTCCCAACCTCCCTGACCAGTTACCTGCCCCTCTGCTACTTGATGTCTGCCATGCTATGATGCAGCCTGTGAGATACAGCTCCTGGGACCTCCCAAAATCCTGGTCCAGCTACTCACTATTCTGCTTTTTGTGTATTTTCCAAGAGCTTCAGTATATAAACCTCTTTTCATGTTCTTGTTCCTTTGGTAGCCTTACAATGGTGACTATGTCACAACCTATCAGCTCTAGGTTGTGTTCCACCTGCCCAGCTGGTTTGCTCTGCTGCCATTCTGAGTCCCAAGCAACTCTGTCTTGCATCATAATGTATAGAAAAACCAGGGCAGAAGTGCTTTCATAACAACTTTACATATTTGTAGGCAGAACACCCAAACAGAAGTAACTTAAAAAAGGATGGGTTTATTCTGACTCACAGTCTGGGGACACAGTCCATCACCGCCAAGAAGGTGTGGCATTAGAAACTGAGGCAGCTTGTCATATTACATTCACAGTCAAGATGCAGAAAAAGTCAAGTGCTATGTACAATGTGCCTTCTCCCTTCTTAATCAGTTGGAGGCCCTACCATTCAATGGAAGCACCATTCAATGGAATGCAAAGTATCTCTCTGAGATGCCCAAGGACTTGCTCTTCAGGGATTCTTCATTCTCTTAAGTTGACCATCAACATTAGCCATCACAAGTACTTTTTTCCTCCTTAGTGCCCCCGAGAGGCCCAGAGAGGAAGCCCCAGGCTCCTCCTTGCTTTACTCCCATCCCACAAAGCTAAGTCTTAGAAAACTTTAACCAGAAAAATTAAGTAAAACAAAAGTATAAAAAATAAATTTGAAGAATAAAGTGCTTTGTGCCTATCCCATCACTGTACACCTCAAATTCAAAGAAATTGCCTAGAAAGCATACAGAAATAACTGCTTAGAGAATAAAGAGCACTTCAAATATAAAATAGATGAAAGCATCATAATTACATTTAGAAAGTAAAGCAGAAGGAAAGTAATAAATACAGCCCCATCACAGTAGGAAATACTTAAAATTCTTTGGAACTTATAATGAAATAAATATCTGGGCCCAATATATTACTGATATGTTAGTTAATGACTCATGATGGACGAAACTGAGAGAAGATGCCATGGCTGAGAGAACATGTCCTGCTCTCACACTGTATACTCGAAAGACAGGAGGAAAGGAGATGGGGGAGGTGATAGAGGAGACAGAGGAAAGAGAAGAGAAAAGAGGACACAGGGGAGGGAGGTGACAGGTCAAAGAGAAGAGAGATGCAAGGGGAGTCTTAGGTAATGTACCTTTTCAAAGAATGGAGAAAATCTGGGTGCTGGCTAACGCTAGGGAGGCAAACGAGAGGGTAGCTACTACCTCTTATCTTGTGTAATAGAAGCATTAGATGTTTGCTGTTCGCTATATCCATCATAAATTCATAAAATATACATAGGAAAGAAAACTAACATCCAGTAATTATCTCAAGCATCTGCCATTATAATACAGTTCTGTGTCTACAGTTGTAGATGTGTGTGTGTCAGAGGCTGGGGGTTGCATGCCCACATGTGTGGATGTGCCGTGTTGTGCCTGTAGGGGTGAGAAGGCAGCCTTCAGCAGTTGTTGATGTTTCTCCTTGGGGTAGGGTCTTTCTTGCTTGAGCAGCTGCAGTGTTTATCCCAGACTAATTGGCCTGTGAGATTCTGGATGATTCTTCTGTCCTGCCATAACAAATATTCATGGTAGTGTTGGGATCACAGATGCCAGCTAGACTACCTCATCTGGCTTCCTTTTCTTTCTATTTCTTTTTTCTTTTTTTTTTTGTTGTTTTCTTTGCTTTGTTTTGTTTTTGACAGGGGTTCTAGGAATCAGCTCGGGTCATTGAGACTCTATGACTAGTGCTCTTACCCCCTGAGCATCTTCTGCCCTTGCATGCATTGAGACTCTATGGCTAGTGCTCTTACCCCCTGAGATTTTCCTGCCATTGTGTACAACTTTCTCATCACTGGAGTCATATTTCACAACCAATAATAATTCTTCTTCTTTACACTCAAAATTGCATTAATTTTCTGTTTTACCATAAATATTTGAAAATTGTCATGCTTACAGCTCTAGAATACTGATTATTAATTGATTCCTAAATCCATAGGACATTTTTGTGTTATTTCGGCCTTTTATCTTTATAGTTAGCAATTGGGGAACAGCACTGGGCATATAAGTTCTTTGGTTACTGTGAGTTTTAGAACTATGTGTCCCTGGAGGTGAGCAAGTATCTGTTTGGTTTCTGAGCTGTTTTAGTGCTGCTTTCTCTCTTCTGCTGTCCTCCAGATAGCCATAAAGATGTTGATTTATTTTATTTTCTCTTTTTCCTTTGTAAATTACTGTTTTATTCAGTATTAAAAAGTTTTAAGAAAGGAATGAAGACGGTTTTGTAAAGCAATCCCATAAGAGGCAAGCAATTACAGATATTTTTATAAGGGCTCATCAGTGTCCTTTAAACAGAGTAATCAAGTGGCATCTGCAATTACTAAAGCCGCGTGGCTCACACATACAATTAAATCTAGAGGATGTACTTACTTCTCTTACATTCCTACATCTTCAGAGCTTGTTACAAAGCGTTGACTTTATTTATTTATTTATTTTTCACCATGAAGCTCAGTTTTGGAGGAATTCCAGTGCCAAGCAAACCTGGAACCTTTTTGAAGAAAAACTTTCACGGCTGTATTGAAAACCTTTACTACAATGGCGTGAACATAATTGACTTGGCTAAAAGACGCAAGCATCAAATCTACTCAGTGGTAAGTCCACTTTCTCTGTCTGTTACCTAGCAGTTTGTGGACTTGGGTAAGTCTTGCTTTGGTCATCTACCCCTGCATCTCTTCACATTGTGTTAATCTTGCGTGTTTAGAATTTTCGTCAGGCAAGGCTGAGTCTGTAGTTCAGTTGCTAGTGGGCTTGCCCAGAGTGCATAAAATCCTGAGTTCCATTCCCACCTCCATACAAAAATGGGTGTTTTAGTTAATTTTCGAGCTATGGTCTGACACAAACAATCTGGAGTAGGAAGGGTTTATTCTGGTTCATAGAATGAAAGAATGGATTTCATCACTGCAGAGAAAACATGACAGTAGAAGGAGGAAGCTAGCTGGTGACACTCCATCAACACTTCAGACAGAGGGAACAGTAATTGTTGCTGGGATATAAAAGTCTTAGACCCTCTGCTAGTGACTAAACTATAGGAAGGCTTCACCTCCTCAAGGTTCTAAATCGTCCCAAACAGGACTACCTTCTACATGCTTAAGTGTTCAAACACGCGAGCTTAGAGAGAATATTTCATCCTCTGGCCACGACTGTCACGGTGCCGCACACCTGTAATCCCAGAACTTTGGAGGGAAAGCGGGCAGATCAGAATTTTAGGTCATCCTCCATCACATAGCAACTCTGAGGGCAGCCTTCTCCATGAGGCCCTGCCTCAAAATATTCAAAATGAAATAAAAGAATTATCATCCTATTAGCTGGCTTTATATTGGAAAAGAGCTGGCTGAGAAAAAGAGACTGCAAATCATTTCTTTGGTAAAATCAAGTATAGATGTTCAAAGAATATTGCTTTCTTGGCTATGTGGAAGATTTGAAATCTATGCAGACTAATATGGATTTTCATTAAAAATAATTCTAAGAAATGCAATGAAAGAATAGATCCTGCTGAATTATGTGGCTAGGACATTTTGTGTATACTTATTGATTATATTAAGCAAGACATTTTAAATGATACTGCAATATTAGTGTCTTAGAGGTTCCTTGCAGATCACTTATAATGACAGTGGATTAAAGGCCTCACTAATTCACTAATGTCTATTTTCTCCAACACACCTTGAGTTTTACGAGGAGTCTTTAAAAAATTATCCTTGAATTTTCTCTCCTCCCTTCATTTGCTCTTTCATCTCTCTGCATTCCCTTTCAAATCCAAGGCCTCCTTTTCTTTAATTATATTAAATACACACACACACACACACACACTCACACACATACACACACACACACACTCACAAACACACACATACAGGCTGCTGAGTCCATTTATTGCTGCTCATATGCATATCTTTTCGGGGCTGATGACCTGAGATTGGATAACCTATCAAGATGCTCGTCCCTGGAAAAGACTTATGTTACCTCTCTCAGCAGCCATTAATTTTCTGCAACTCTTCATCTAGTAAGATTTCACCTGTCATATTTGCATGGCAACTGGTGTTGTTACTGTTCAGGCTTTGCTTAGGCAGCTGTACTGGGGAGACTGATGGGTGCAGTTTCCCTGACAAATATAAAAAATACTATCACACATCAGATATTCTAGGTGTACACACACACACACACACACACACACACACAGGCTACCTTGAATATAATGAGGCCTCAGTAATAATATGTATGCCTCCAGGTATAATTAAGGTCTTATATATTTGCTCTAGTTCTCTGAGTATTTTTGGTGTTACTACATGTTGAGTTCCATTTAGTACTATTTATTGAGGGTAGTTGGGCCTGTTGGTCATGTAAAAGCAAACTCTTTCTCTAGTGATAATCATGTTCTAAAGTCTACTTTACTCAACTATAGCATTGACATATAAGCTCTCTTCCTTTTGTCTTTCTTTCTATTTTCCTTCCTCCATAATTTTTCCTTCCTTCCTTCCTTCCTTCCTTCCTTCCTTTTTTCTTTCTTTCTTTTCTTCCTTCCTTCCCTTTTTTCTTCACTTTTATTTTTCTTGAGACAGGATTCCTCTGTTGTAGCCCCGACTGTCCTGAAACTTGCTCTGTAGACCAAGCAGGCTTCGAACATAGAGATCTACCTTTCCCTGCCTCCTGAATTATTTGGTTTAAAGGCATGTACCATTACTACCCAAAATGATGCTTTCAATATTTGTATTCTATAGTTTTCTCCCACATTGTTTGTCTTTTAAGTCATCGGTATCATTATTTGTTGTTAATAATAAATAGTTCAGTCATGTATTTTAATCAACTCAAATTTTTATTGGTATTCTTGGGCTATTTACACTTAATGCAATTATTGATTGCTTAAGCACTTATCTACAGTTCTTGCCTTCTGTTTGTTCTGTTGTTTTAATTCTTTTCCTTATTTTTAAAAATAATACATGTGTTGATGTTGAATGAACTTTAGAACTTAATTTTGGTATGTGAATATCTGTTGTGGAATATTAATTAAGATGTGTTACATTCATTTATGCTGTAGAATATCTCTTTATTTATGTAAAGATTATTGCATTTTTTATGTTGCATTTGTTTAACTGTGTGAAGCTGTGTTACTTTGCCTGCCTAATAAACCTGATTAGTCTAATAAGGAGCTGAACAGTTAATAGCTGAGCAGAAGATGGATAGGCAGGGCTGCCAGGCAGAAAGAATAACTAGAAGAAAAAAGGAAAGGAATGAGGAACAAGAATAGGAGGAGCAGAGATTGCAAGGGGCCAACCACCCAGCAATACAGCAAATCATAGACGAAGAAGGAAAGACGAAATATACAGTAATAGAAAAATGTAAAAGTCTGAGACAAAAGGTAGTTCTGATAATTTAAGATAAGTTGGCTAGAAACAAGGCAAGCTAAGGCCAAGAATTTATAAGAATAAGTGTATTTATTAAGAGTTTGATGGTAAAATCTCAAAGAGTAAAACCAAAATAAAAAAACACCCCCTCAAAAAACCCTACAAGTGTCTCTTAGCATAGTTTTTGTTCATGGTTTCTCAGTGTTATAATGTTTATACATAGCTTTTTGGTGGCTTAATGGTTTTTATCATTTGATCAATATAATTGAAATATAGATATGTTACCTCTCTTGAAACCCATCTATCCTTTTATGTTTATTTTTGCTAATTTTTTCTCTTTGTAATTAGAACCTTATCGGTTGCTTTCACTTTTGCTTTAATTTTCCAAAATAATTTCAAAAATGTAAGAGAATAGGTGTTTATTGGACCATGGACTTTCCACAGGGCAGGGAACCCTGACTGCTCTATGGACTGGAAAAGGAAGGGGAGAGGAGTGGGGGGAGAGGGAGAAGGGTGGGAGGAGGGGGATGGAAATGGGAGGCTGGGAGGAGGCAGAAACTTTTTTTTTTCCTTTTTCAATAAAAATAAATTTGGAAGGAACGCAAAGAAAGGGTTAGGCACAAGGAGACATAGAAGGCAGGGAAATGACACATGAGTCATAAAAAGGCATCTAATCCCCCCCACCCCATGTTTCAACTCTATCCATAGTTGTGGTTGCTCTGTTTTTTCCTGTAGTGGGTGTGAGAATCCAACCTCCTCTTTATTGAATAGCATAGCAAGAGCCGGTTTGGCAAGGCAGTGAGATGTGCCACTCCACTGAGGCAGAGACTATGAAAGCTGCCTTGACTTTTATACACGACAAGTCACTGAGCACAAGCGTCATCCTGCCCACTAGAAGGGAGTTGTGTAACCTTAGAAATTATACTTCTTCCTTCTGTTTAAAACAATATAAAACCATTTTAACACAGTTTAATATATATAGAAACAGCACTGCTATACTTCAAGCTAAGATTTAGTTTTAAATATGCTTTGTCTTTTTTCTTCCTTATTCTCTTAAATCTCCTTTTATGCCCCTTCTATTTCGATACTTTCTTTTAGCTGTGCTTTTTAGTATATATGTGAATGCTCCAGATTCTCATATCTTCTTTCAACTGGGAATATTATGGTTGATTTCCTTGATGTAAAATTGAGAGTTGTCAGCTTTTTATTTAGCAAGTGGAAATGTTGACTCTCTTCCCTCTTCTCAGTGACAAATGTATTGTCTCAGTGGTGAACATAACCAGGATGCTTTTTTCTGAGGGTGTGATGTATTTTCTCTCCGGGTTATATCAAAGTTTGTCTGTGATGTTAGACGTTTGAGTGTGATGTGTCAGGACTTGGGCTTCCTCGACATTTTGTGTTAGGCTTTTTCTCAGTTTCTTGAGCTTCTGATATTTTATCATATTTAGGCAACTTTCTGTTCTTATATTTGAGCAGCTTTCTATCACTCTATGTTGGGGTATGCATAGACCTTTTATTTGTGTGTATGCTGTGGGGGAGGGTGAGAATATGCTTGTGGGTAACAGAAGAGATTCAAAGACAGCATAGGATCTCCAGCAGCAGAATTACAGGCTGTTGTCAGATCTGTCACAACCAATGTAAGTCCTGGGAACTGAACTTGTGTCTTCACCATGAGCCGCACACACTCAAACTCTGAGCCACTTCTCCAGCCTCTCTTTGGCTAATTTTATAGTTAGTGTCTTTTATATCTTGTTTCTGAACTACACAATCCTCTTATTATAGCTTACAAGCTACTTCACTTTGTATGCTGCTCAAACTAAATGATTTTAATTCTTACGTATTTGACATATTCTCTTCCATTGGTATATAGATTCACCACTGATCTGTTTTATTCTTCTCATTGTTATAACATGCATGTATTATTTTTTAAAGTATAATGCATCTCTCTCTTTGTGTGTGTCTGTATGAGTGTGTGTGGTGTCCGTATGTGTTTGCAATGGTATATACCTTTCTTTGTGCATGCACTGAGGCTAAAGAAAGATGTGGAGTAGTCTATCATGTTCAGTTTTCTTTTTCTCTTGAGACAAAGTCCTTTACTGATCCTGGAGCTGGCTGCCAGTTAGTAAGGCTCAGTGATCCCCCTTTTTTTACTCTAAGCAGTGTTGGGACAAGAGGCACACTGCTACACCAAGATTTTTATGTGGATGCTGGAAGCTTATCCTCACACTTGCAAAGTAAGCACTCTTACTACA